AAAAAACCAAAACCAAAATAAAACAAAAACACCCAAATTCATGCCTGGAAGCAAGAATTACATTCCTTGAAGAGGAGGAGCCAACCAAAAATGGGAACTGCAGGCCAATCTCCCTAATGGAAAAAAAAATAGAGGACAAAAAATCCTCACTAAGATAGTGGCAAACAAAAAGCAGCAAATCATCAAGAAAATTATACACCACAACCAAGTAGGAGTCATCCCAGAGATGCAGGAATGGTTCAACATATGCAAATCAGAAAATCTAATACACCATACCAACAGAGGCACGGACAAAAACCATACGATCATCTCAGTTGATGCAGCAGAAGTCTTTGACACAGTCCAACACCCACTCGTGACAATAAAAACCCTTCAGAAAATTGGTATAGATGGTCTTTATCTCAACCCGATAAAAGCCATCTATGACAAACCCACAGCCAACCTCACACTAAATAGACAAAAACTGAAAGATTTCACTCTAAAAACCAGGGACAAGACAAGGATGTCCATTATCACCACTTTTATTCAATATAGTTCTGGAAACATTAGCCACAGCAGTGAGACAAGAGAAAGAATAGAAATAAAGATAGGAAAGGAAGAAGTTCAATTATTGTTATTTGCAGATGACACGGTGCTCTACATGGACAACTCCAACTGGATTTAATAACCAAATCCAGTAGCATAGTTGGATACAAAGTCAACACTCAAAAATCAGTAGCATTCCTGCACACAGATAACAAGCTAAGGGACAAAGAAATTAGGGAAACAACACCTTTTACAACAGCATCCAAAAAATGAATAAATAAATAAATACCGGGCTGGGGATTTAGCTCAGTGGTTCCGGTGCCTGCCTCACAAGTGCATGGTCCTGAGTTTGATTCCTGGTACCAAAAACAAAACAAAACAAAACAAAAAACACCAAGAAATCAGTCTAACAAAGGAAGTAAAAGACCTTTACGTGAAAACTGCAGTACTCTGAAAAAGGAGATTGAAGAGGATATCAGAAAATGGAAAGAGACCCCTTGTTCTTGGGTAGTGAAAATGGCCATACTTCCAAGATTATTATACAGATTTAATGCAATTCCGATCAAAATACCAATAGCATATCTCACAAAATTAGAGAAAATAATCCTAAAATTCATTTGGAACCAAAAGAGACCTAGAACAGCAAAAGCAATTCTAGGTAACAAAAGGAAGGCAGGGACAACACGATTCCTGAGTTGAAATTATACTACAAAGCTATTGTGATAAAAACAGCATGGTACTGTAAAAAAAAAAAAAGATCCAGGACTCCATGGAATAGATTAGAAGATGCAGAAACAACTCCAGACACACTCAGCCACCTCATCTTTGACAAAGGAGCCAAACACCCTCACTGGAGGAAAGCTAGCTTCTTCAATAAATGGTGCTGGAAAAACCAGGTTTCCACATGCGGAAGATTAAAACCACACCCATGTGGGGCTGGGGATTTAGCTCTATGGTGCTGCACCTGCCTTGCAAGTGCAAGGTCCTGAGTTCTATCCCTGGTACTGGAAAATGAAAAACAGCTAGACCTATGTGTTTCAGCAGGCACTAAACTAAAACGAAAATGGGTCAAAGATCTAAATATTAAAACAGAGACACTAAATCCGCTGAAAGACAGAATAGGTAGAACTCTTGAAGATATTGGTGTAGGCAGAGACTTTAACAACAAAACCCTGAATGTACAGGAAATATCACAAAGAATCAACAACTGAGATCACTTCTTATTTTGCACAACAAAAGATACCGCCAACAGAATGAAGAGACAGCCTACATCTTGGGAAAAAAATTTTTTTCCTGCTGTTCCTCAGGCAAAGGATTATATCTAGAATATATAAAGACATTAAAAAAAAACCCAGACACTCCCAAATTTAAAGACCCAATCCAAAAAATGGGCATCTGAAATGAACACACAGTGTAGTGTGTTGACTGATGGTCAACTTGTAGCCATGAAAAGGGAGCTGGCGGGGAAGATCTTGGCCTGTTGATTTTTTTAGGAGAAGCTCGCTGCGGATGGTTTTCCTGACTCGAACTAGGCTGTTCTTATCAGAGGAGCAGCTCAGGACCTCACTGTCGCTGGGAATGGCTGCTGCTTTCATCAGGGGAGCATCTGACCTTCACCGTGAGGCACCTGATCCAATATGGATCCCTCAGCTCGGTGGCAGAGATCTTTCATCTCAGGAGCACAGATTTTCTGGGTTCCGCCACAGGCCTTTGGGCCTTCCGGGTGCAGATCCTCAATATGGGCAAGCGTGAGGCATGCAGGGGGCTCTAGGCCACTGGCTGGACTGGAGGAGGACACTGCCTTAGACTCTAAGCCTTTAGCTGGACTTGTGTGGGAAACTACTGGGATCCAGGCCCTCGGTCGAATGCTTTGGGGCTTCTAGTGTGTGGTGAATCTTTTCCACTCCTTTGCATTTGACTCTTCAGGTAATTATCATAAAATTACCTTATAAGTTATGTGTCCTGTGTTTAATGTATTCCCTTGCCCAGTCCTGCTGACTACAACATTTAGGAAACGAAGACGTAGAGGTGGCAACATGAATCTATTTTTAAAAGTTCAGCATCACTGGTCATTCAAGCGATGCAAAATGAAGCAACACTGAGATTCCACCTCACCCCCAGAAAGAACGGCTGCTATCAAGAAATCACCAATAACAAACGCTGGCCCGGCTGCGGGGAGAAAGGAACCCTGCTCCACTGCTGGTGGGAGTGCGGACTGGTGCAACCGCTGTGGAAATCGGTACGGAGATTCCGCAAAGAACTAAAACTAGAGGTTCCTTTCAACCCAGCTCTCCCCGTTCTTGGTAGCTTCTCAAAAGAAAAGCATCATACCTCAGTGATATATGCACGCCCATGTTTATATCAGCATGGTTTGAATGGATAAATGAGTTGTTGTTGTTGTTGTTGTTTTAATACAATTGACTACTGTTCTGCCCTCCCGAAGAGTATAGTTAAGACATGATGTGCTAAATGGATGCACCTGAGGTCGCACTCTTACGCGAGATGATGGGACCCACATGTGTAAATTTCACATTATTTCTCTGGTGGTGAGAAACAGAAGGCGGAAATAAGGTCCACAATGTATAACAGATATCGGGAAATGGAGCGGGGGGGGGAAATATACAAACGAAAAGGCGAACAATGAAACTGGAGGGGAAAAGGAAGGAATGGCCAAGAAAAAAAGACTAGAAGGGAAGAGATGGAAACAAAGCTTTTGTAAATAAGGAAGGGATGACAGGTTGGAGGGGAGGAGATTGGGGGAATAAAGGAGCAAGACATATCATGAACAGGGACAAATTTCCTCTGATGAATGTCATTATGGATATCTAAAATGTAACAAGAAAAATTATTTTTTAAAATAAATAAAAAGAGGAGGGCCGGGGATTTAGCTAAGTGGTTCCGCCGCCTGCCTCGCAAGCGCAAGGTCCCAAGTTCGATCCCCGTACCAAAAACAAAACAAAAAACAGTAATAAATTATGGTGAATTAGAATCCCTCCCCCGTGGAATTTACATTTTTAAACCTCATGCAGGAAACCAGACCACTTCTGTCGCCCAACTATGACCCACAGGTGGACAACTTGCAAGCCCTGCCCGGGAGGACACTTCAATGCTTGGCTTTCCCGCGAAGTTTATAGGTCAACCGAGGCCCCGCCCACTGTCGTATGCCGCTCCGTGACGTCATCTGTACGCAGAGCGTCATTGGAGCGATCTGAGCACGTGCTCTTCCCCAGTACAATCAGGCAGCACACACGCGACCCGGAAGGTTTTCCGGCCACACTCTAGAGCCTTGGTGAGGGAAGTCGATGGCGGAGGGAGCGGCAGAAGCTTCAGCCGAGAGTGGTGGTGACGGGGCATCAGGAGTGAGCGCGTCAGAACGGGGAGTGGCGCCCATTAAGCCTCAGTGAGTCGCCAGGGAAGTAGGGCGTAATTTTTTTTTTTTAAATCCCATTCCTCCTTCAAGTCCAGTATGGGATAATCTCATGTGGTCTTTTCGGCATCCGTAGCGCGTTCCGAGCGGTGCACGCCGGGAGGTGGAGTAGCGGCCTCGGGCGGGAAGCTCAGGGTCTTCAGTCTGAACTGTTTCTCCGCTGGCGTAGTGATTAGCGGCGGCGCCAGAGATCTTGCACGTTGGAAGCTGTCATATAGGCAAAGGGCGTCCACGTGCCTGCTTAGGCGGAGGAGGTGGGGTAGAGGAAAGGACCGCGATGCTTGCTGGGAATTGTAGTCCCTGCAAATGGCAGGAATGGCGCGTGTGCACCTTTAGCTGCAGTTACAGGCAGGTAGGTGACTGGTGTCCTGAGCGAGTGTTGCATGGTGTTCTGGGATTTTCGGTGTCTGATAGGCAGAAAGGCGTGCTGGGAAATGTGGCAGCTTCGTCCTCACTACAAGGCATTCTGGGGCTTGCTTTTTTTTTTTTTTTTTTTTTTTTTTTTT